TTCTCTGCTTTGTACTTGTCTCAGGATTCTTTCTTTGTCTTCGTTGGAGTAGAGCTTGAGTACCATGTGTCCGGGTGAAGATCTCTTTGGGTCATGTCTGTTGGGAGTTCTCTGTCTGTCTTGTATGTGGGTTGGGTTCATGCTCCCAGTGTTTTGGAAGTTTTCCTGTATAATTTCGTTGAGCACCCCTTGCATTCCTGACTCTCTTTCCACTCCTTCGGGAAGGCCCATGATCCGAATATTCAATTTTCTGAAGTAATCTTTCATTTCTTCTATCATTTTATTAGCTTTGTTGAGGCTTGTCTCCAGCTGTTTAATGAGCTGGGGATCTGCATTATGTGTGTCTTCAGTTTCAAAGATCCTTTCTTCTGCTGTATTTATTCTGTTGGTCAGACTTTCAATTTTGAGTTCCAGGTCAGCCATTTTGGTTTTGACTTGTTGTATTTCTGTGACTATTTTGTTCTTGAAGTCTTCCCACTTCTTCTCATGGTCTCTGACGAATTTTAGCATTATTTGTTTAAATTCCTTGTCTGGTACATCTTCCTTGTCTTCATCTCGCATCTCCAATGTTGGTAATGGCTTTTGGCCCTCATTTGGTGGGGTGCTGGCTCTCTCAACTGAGTCATTGCTTTTTCTGATGCTTTTTCTCATTGTGCTATTTTTTTCCACGCTCCGGGCGGGTTGTTGTGTTTCCTGCTTACTTTCTCTGGATTCCTAAGTTGCGTGATTCTTCTTGGTTGCTCCGTGTTCAGGGACGCTTCAAGCACTCTTCTCTGCATGTTTCTGGTCTGCTGCTCTTCCCTCAGCTAACTTTCATCCCTCTTTTACCAAGTCCTCCTCTATGCTTGCCCTTCTCGGTCAGCCTCCTTCTGTTTCCTCGGATAGGTATTGTCTTGTGTGTGCCAACAGGGATAGAGTGTGGATGAGAGACTTTGTAGGCTTGGGTTTCTTGTCTTTGCTCTGGGTGGATATAGAGTGTGCGGTTCCACTCTCTCACAAATGTACTCCCCTGTTGGGAGACAAGCTTCTGTGGCTTGCTTGCCTGCACCTCCACCCAGGTCAGCAGACTCTATTGAGCAGTGCCCCACCTCTGGAGTTAAAGCTGAGTACAGCACAGCAGGGTATTCTGCCCATTCTCCAGCCACCTGCTGCTCTTTCCGACCCTGATTTGTGTTGCAAGGTTCTGTGGGCCTGGCCCTAGTGAGAGGCTGCTCTACCTGTTACACTTGCTCAAAGGCACTGTCCCACTGTGAGGCGCACTGTTGTCTCCCTCCAAGCCTGCCAGCCTGTGACCCTGCCTGGCTCAGCTAGCTGTGTGGAGCAGTGCTGCCCTGCCTCTGAAGATGGGGCTGAGCACGGCAGGGGGTTCCACCGGAGCTTCCAGCTGCCTGTGGCAAGGAATTCGCAGCCCTGAGCTGGTTTGGGACAACATGGCGTGCCCCAGTCTAGTGAGGGCCCCTGTTGCGCTTTCTGAAAGGCGCTGTCGCACTGTGGAACACACTGTCATGGTCCTGCTAGCCCATGAATCAGTGCCCCGCCTCTGGGCTAAGAGCTGAGCCTGGCAGGGGGTTCCGCCCAAGCCTCCTGCTGCTGGCTTAAGGCTTGGAATTTGCAGCCCCAAGTTGGGTTAGGAAAGCTGGTCTCCTCTGGAGTTTCCAGTTGCCTGCAGCTTGAAATCCGCAGCACAGAGCTGGGTCAGAGAAGCTTGGGATGTCAAGGCCTAGTGAAGATTCCCGCTGAACTCACTCAGATGTGTTCCCCAGCTGTAAGGTGCGCAGCTGTGTCCCTTCTAGCCCTCACCTCCATCTGGGTTGGCTGACTCTGAGGTGCAGTGCTCCCCTTCTGGGGCTCAGGCCAAGCACAGCAGGAAACCCAGCAGCTAATCCACAGTTTGGAGCCTAGTTTTTGTGACCCAGACCTCTGAGAGTGGCTCCACCCCCCTCTGCACTCTCTCAATGGGGCTGAGCTGTTGGCGGGCGTTCTGCTGGGGCCCCCTCCCCTGCTTGTCCTCAACCTCTGCAGGGGTTGATGGCCCCTATGTTCAAACCTGTAGCTACCCTTAGGGTTTCCGGGGCTACAGTAGTCTGTGGCTCCCGCTGGTGCGGGAGCTGGTTTTTGCAGTTGCCCTTGTCTTCCCTGGGTCGGCCAAGATTGCGCAGCCAACCTTCCACCTGTGTGGGACTGCAACTCACCAAGTCCTGTGCGACGTCCTCTCTTTCTTTTCTTTTTTTTTCTCACTGTCCCTGCAGGCTGAGTTGATCTTACTTCAGTGCAGTCTAGTGTCTTTCCCACTCCTCTCCCTGCAATTCTGTGTCTCCTGGTTTGTTTTTCGGCTGGATCGGTCCTTCTCTCTTTGTTCTCCACCTTATAACAGCTCCTCGAGGTCGGCCATCTTTTTCCCTGCTGATAGCCTGCAGACACAAAAAGATAGACCCACATCTGTCACCATACACTAAGATCCAATCTACATGGATAAAAGACCTAAACCTACATCCAGAAACCTTCAAACTCTTGCAAGAAAATGTTGGAAATACCCGGAAGGACCTAGGAGTAGGTCCTGACTTTCTAAGAAGGACGCCAAAAGCAATAGCAGTTAAGAACAGAATAAACAAATGGGACCTCATCAAACTAAGAAGCTTCTGTACAGCAAGGGAAACTATCAGTAAAGTAAAAAACCAACCCACAGAATGGGAGAAGATCTTTGCGCACTCTGTAGGCGATAGTGGGCTAATCTCCAGGATATACAAAGAACTCCAAAACAACCAAAACACCAAAACAAACAAGCCACTCAAGAAATGGGCACGGGAAATGGGCAAACATTTCACAAAGGAACAAGCCCAAATGGCAAACAAACATATGAAAAAACGTTCCAGTTCCCTGGCAATAAGGGAAATCCCAATTAAGACATCGATGAGGTACCACCTAACACCAGTAAGATTGGCCCACATAAAAAAAGAACACCAATGACACTTGTTGGCGAGGATGCGGGGAAAAGGGAACCCTACTCCACTGCTGGTGGAGCTGCAAGTTGGTACAGCCTTTATGGAAATCAGTCTGGAGAACACTCAAACAACTCAAAATCTGCATACCATATGACCTAGCAATAGCACTCCTAGGAATATATCCAAAACACCTGTTTCACGACAAACCAACATGCATCCCTATGTTCATAGCAGCACAATCAGTAATTGCAAAAACATGCAAGCAACCGAAATGCCCATCAGCAGAAGATTGGATAAGAAAGCTTTGGTTCATCTACTCCATGGAATACTACTCAGCTATTAAAAAAACAAAATGCAGTTCTTTGTGGCTAAATGGGCCCAACTGGAAACTATAATGCTAAGAGAAATGAGCGAATCCCAAAAGGTTACATACCACATGTTTGCCTTGCAAGAAATGATTAACCTGTAATTTTTGTTTGGTTGGTTGTTATTTTTTGAACCTGTCATTGATACTGTCTCAACCCAGATGTTTTGAAGAATTGAACTTGCATTATTTTTAACATATTGTTTACTCAATACTATGTCAATTAATTCCATAACATTGTATATTGATGCTGATGTTTTGTTGGGGCTTTTAACTGACCGGAACTTTACTCTGTTAGCTCTACCTTCAGACCAGAGAAGGTCTCCCCAAGAGGCCACTGAACTTATCTGGACAATAAGATGCTGGACTTTATGCTAGGTATATGCTTGCAATGAAGGAATCTCAACTGAACTTGAACTGTGGTTATGCAGCAAGGTGGAGGAATCCACTATGGGGGAGGGGTGTGGGAGGGGTGCAGGGAATCCCCAGTGCCTATAAAACTGTATCACATAATACAATGTTAATAACAATACAAATACATATATATATAATAAATAAATAATAAAAATGAAAGTCACCAAAATCGGTTTGAGAACACCGTGCATGGCTTCAGCTAACCCTTTTTTTGGCAAGTCCAGACTGCAGTGGATAATGGCAAAAAATTATGGTGGTGACCCAAAGTAGTGTAACAAATGAACTTAATAAAAATCTTGAGTTAGGAATTTGTGATTTGTGTGGCATTCATTTTTTGAATGAGTCACCTGTTCATTTTTGTGGCCTACAACACAGAGAAAAACAAGCACTGGTCTATGAGGTGTTGAAGGGATTTACCAGGGCTGCTCCAACTGAAGATAAATGCAAAGTGAGACAGTGACACTGTTTCCAACTTGTCAAAGCACAAGTATACTAAGAACATGGCCTCCACGTCCCAGATGCCATCTCGAGTGTGGCCAGTGCTCTGTCAGCTTTGGAGGTGGGAGGGGGAGCGAAGCCACACAGCTGGCCATTCCATTCTCAGCTTGCCACAGACCGGCAACTGGAAGACACTGACATAGTGTGTGTACCCCAAGCAGAGCAACTCACTCCAGGGAGCATGGGTTATACTTGTGGCTTTGCTGCTTCCCCAAAGGTATCATGGCTGCCCTCAGACCCCTGCTGAACCCAAGGTCATCAAGAAGAGGACCAAAAAGTACATCTGGCACCAGGCTCGCCACTATGTCAAAATTAAGCAGAACTGGCAGGAGCCCAAAGGCACTGACTACAAGGTGTGCGAGAGGTTCAGGGCCAGATACTGATGCCCAACAATGGTTACTGGGGCAACAAGAAGACAAAGCACAGGCTGCCCAGTGGCTTCTGGAAGTTCCTGGCGCATGACATCAAGGAGTTAGAGGTGCTACTCATGTGCAACAAATCCTGCTGTGCAGAGATTGCTCACAATGTCTCCTCCAAGAACTGCAAAGCCCTCAGGGAAATGGCAGCCCAGCTGTCCATCTGAGTCACCAATCCCAATGCTAGGCTGCACTGCAAAGAAAATGAGCAGCCAGCTGGGTGCAAACTTTACATCTATGCTCAAGTAAAACCCTGAAACCACCCCGCAAAAAAGTCTAGAGGGGGAACAAAAAACAAACAGAAGAAAAGAACTAGTCATAATTTTAACAAGAGGTGAATACTGATTTAATACCTAAAGGACCACAATTGTTTTCGTCATTCTTCCTGTCCAAGTTTTTCTTGTCATTATTTTTAGTTGTGTCTTCTACAACGTTGAGAGATGAAGACGGGTCTTTCACCTTTAGTAAGGGTTCAGTTAGACATTTGATGTTGAGCAAAAAACAAAACAAAAGAAAAAGGTGAATGACTTACACTGGTGTATTCATTATTTCTTTCAAGACTTCTGTACGTATTTATTTGACAGTCAAAGGACAAATAGGAGGAGACAGATACAGACACACTCTTCTATTCATGGGTTTGCTCCCTAAATTACTGTAACATTGTGAAACCAGGAGTCACGGCCTCCATCTGGGTCTCCCACACAGCTGGCAGAGGTCCACGGATTTGGGCCATCTTTCGGTAGCCTTTCCAGGTAAGTTAGCAAAAAGCTGTATGAGATGCTAATGTATGTGGCAGCTTCACCTACATATGACAATGCCAGCCCAACTTTACAACTTGTGGATGTACAAGTACAGTTTTTGAATGAATCTACATAGGGTGGGTATTTGGCACAGTGGTTAAGGCACATCTTGAGGGCTCAGTGCAGTAGTCTAGTGGCTAAAATCCTTGCCTTGCACACACCAGGATCCCATAAGGACACTGGTTCATGTCGCAGCTGCTCCACTTCCCATCTAGCTCCCTGCTTGTGGCCTGTGAAAGCAGCTGAGGAAGACCCAAAGCCTTGAGACCCTGCACCAGCATGGAAGACCCAAAAGAAGCTTGAAGCTCCTGGCTCTTGGCTTTGGATCAGCTCAGCTCTAGCCATTGTGGCCGCATGGGGTGTGAATCAGTGGACAGAATATCTTTCTTCATCTCCTTCTCTCAGTATATCTGCCTTTCCAATAACAATAAATAAATCTTTTTTTTTTTTTTTGAAAAAGACACCCCTTGAGACGCTCATTCTCCATCTAAATGTCTGGATTCCCATTCTGACTCTATCTCTTGATTCCAATTTCTTGCTAGTTCCCTTCCATGAACACCACCACCTCACCAGCGGGCAGTTCAGGTAGATGTGTCCCTGCCACTCCTCTCAGATGGAGCTCCTGACTGCTGGCTACAAGGCCCAGCCAAGGCTCTTCTGGGTACTAAAGAGAAACAGCAAGTGGGAAAGCTTTATGTAAGTCTATCTCTCTCTGTCTCTCTCCCTTTCACACAGGTAGAGAAGCTGTAACATATTATTGGCTATTAAGTGCTCCAAGATAAAACCAGAACTAGTGATTCCTACATGGAAGATCTCATAATGGCTCATTCTTGCTAAATATTTATTTTTAAATGGTAAAATGCTTTATATGACATAATTATCTGCTAGAAATAATAGTGATCATTAACCCAAGGATACATTTGATAGAATTATGAAATCTGTGTTATAAAGATTACAAATTTTAATGTATTCAAAACAAAACAGAAGTGAGGAGTTCAACTGAGATAAAACACATTCTTAAGAATCCAAATTAGAGCATAAGAGGGCTCCCAGTATTGGGTATTTTTTTTTCCCTTTGGAAACAGATTTTCCAGAACTGTAACCAAAAAAATCAAAGGACTGAGCCATGTATTTCTCTGGAAAGACCCACATAAATCTATTCTGCTCTACAGTTGCCATGCTTCCATCCCTTCACTCTTTAGAATTTGAGGCACAAACAACAGGGCCTTCAGATTTGAGCACAGTTCAAGGTTAGTGTCTCATTTTTGTTGCGTTTATCGTGCATTTCAAGGTCTTTCAATCTTTTACGCTTAGGCAAAGAATTAAACAATACATTTATCACTTGGTGTCCACAAGTGGAAGGTTCCAAGGACCAGCCATCCAACTCCTAAATGCCAACATCCACAGCTACTCAAGGCTCTTATACTCTGCAGTGCAGTATTCAGGTACAATCTACACATACCTATATTTTAACTCAGTTCTATACTGCTACTAATGCTAACTCTGTGACAGAAATTGTGGTAGCACTATCGAGAATAATGACAAGAAAACATTCTGTCAGACACAATTCATTTGGTTTTCAAATATTTCTGATCTATGGTTTGCTGAATCGATAGCTGTGGAATATGTGGGTGCAGAGGGGAAGATTATGACACTAAGAATAGTTTCAAGATCCCAGTCTAGCAATTTAATTCATCATTTCCCATAGCAAGGATTTGTTTGCAAAACTTTTTTTTTGGCATGTAAAACTTTATAAATTTCCATGTTAAAATAAAATTCCAGCCAGCTCAATCATACAAATCAGAGGCGTCATTAACCTCAAAGAGGCCTCGTGCATCCCTCAGAAGTTGTTTTCTGCGTATTTTAGTGTTTTCAAGTCCTATTTGTGCTTCATCAGCAGCTTTCCGTAATTTTTCTTTCCATGGTCCAGGTTCTTCTGAAAGCTGAAATTGAAACAAAAAATTTCACTCATCATGCACGTTTGTAAACAGATGAATTCACAAGGCTGGTGGTGTCATTAACAGACATCCAAAAAGGCAGTTCTGCTACTTCCAGGAAGGAAGAAGACTCCTACTACGAAGAATTTCCAAACTGGGATAGTTCAAACAAGACTTAAGTATTCTTCAACTGACTTACATATGTTTATCACATAAAAGGCTTACTGAGACAAACACACAAGTACCTCAAAGAGTTCATGGAGAAAAACTAGGGACAATATTTGGTCACTAAAAATGCTTTAAAATCCATGCAAACTTTGGATACTATGAATTTTTCCATAAAACTGTTAATAACACTAAGATCAGGCCTCTACTTAAGGGGCCTGCATCCCATGTGGCTATCAATTCAAGTGCTGGCTGCTCTACTTCGGAGCCAGCTCCCTGCTTATGTCTTGGGAAAGCAGTGCAGGATGGCTATGTTCTTGGGCCGCTACACTCATGTGGGAGACTCAGAAGTAGCTCCAGGCTCCTGGCTGAAGACTGGTCCAGGTCCTGCGGTTGCAGCCATTTGGGTAACAAACCAGAGTGGAAGTTCTCTCTTTCTGTCGCTACGTGTCTCTCTGTAAATCTCCCTTTCAAATAAAAGTAAGTCTTAAGAAAATGGAATTAAAACAAATCATTGGATTTGTTGACTGGGTGCTAGCTAACACATTGCTGAAAACATGAAGTGACATTCAGTCTTAAAGCATTAGTGAACGATCGTATTACAATGTTTTATTCCAGTAACACAATTAAAACCACAGAAAGTAGTTGTAACAAGTGATGTTATATAATTAATTTTTTATATAAATATCTAGTTTTGATTTGATCACAAGCTTAACACAGGCCTGACTTGTTTTTGACACCAAGATGGCAAAAGACTGGTGCTTTGTTATGTTAGAGGCATAAACCCATAAGGTATTATACGAAATGCATCAAAGATGCATAACTCTCTTTGAGAGTTATGGGTAGATAGACAGGAAACAAAATTATTATTAATATTAGAGAAAATGTTGACAGAAGGTAGACAGAAAATGCAATCATATTAAATGATCCAGATAAAGCATTTAGAGTCATAGTAATGCAATTACTGCAAAGTTTCTTGCTGAATAACTATAAATTGATTGGGGGAAAAAAGGAAACGGAACACATGAGAATCTGTGTGTCTTGCCTATATAAACAGGGAGAAAAAGGATACATGTTCAGTCCTCATTTGAACTACCTCCAGGATCCATTTTGCCTCGAAGCCCCGGATAAGCAACAGGTGCTAAACGCTATTTGCTGTGATTGCCTAAGTGTCAAACACCCTGGTTTACTTTCACTCCGAGGAAAGAGAACCAGAAGAATATACACTTGTGCATCCCTATCCAAAACACACAGTTACAAGAGTGCAATGGAAGTACCCTACCGTGATATTAAGTAGAAAATCAAAAAACAAAAACCACCCTGCTCTTAACATGTGGTTGGTCACAAGGATGCCCAAAGCTCTTCTCATTACATACTTGAAAGCAAGATTCACTTAGAGTACAAACCTGCAACAGTTCTTGGTGAAGCTGCACATTTTCATTGAAAACCTTCTCTAGTTCTGCCTTAATTGCCTCATGAATAATTTGAAATGGTCTGGTCGTTGTTGTAGCCTAAGTAGAAAAAAAAAAAAACATTAGGTCAATAACAACATAATACAATGGCTTATCTTCATGGACTCCCTGGAATCTTTATGTGGATAACGGCCAAAGCATTCCAACACATAGCAACATGGCAGTGTACCTACCAACACGGCAGCAAAATGCCAGCAGAGGTATCCCAGAATAGCAGGAAAACAGAGCACAGAATCAAGTACAGCTCTGCCACTAATCTGCCATGTGACCTTACACAAATGACAGCCTGTTATCAATGGCCACGTATTGCATAGCAGATTTTACCAACTACGTATTCTGTATATCCGCCACTGAAAGTCAAACTCCATGAGGGTTTTTTTTCTGTCTTAATATGTTAAATAGCAATCACCTTCAACAAGCTTAGTAGAGCAACAGCTTTTCAAATATTTGTATACTATTATAAACTTTCCTGAAATGCCTTATGGGTGCGTGCATATATATATATATATATATATATATGGAAATTGAAGATCTAACTCTGAAACCCTAACATTATATAGTATTCCTGAAAAATAAAAACAAGAACTAAATTTAAATTATTTCAAAAATAACAGAGCTACAAGTGTTAGACAAATTCAACTTACGTCAGCAATTTGTGAGTTGAGGGACTTTCTTCCATCTTTTAGGGCCTGTAACGCTGGTAAAATCTTTGCCACCTGCAAAGAAAGTATCAGTCAAGAGACAAGTATTTACTAAGCCCTTGCAGTTTCCAAAACGCAGTATCTCAACTTTGACACTTCCCAACACTTAACTTACCCAGGGCTCATCACTCCATGCACAGCAGATCTGACTAACTAAACTCACATCATGATTCCCCTTGCTTGTCCTGACCAAACATTTTAAGTAATAAAAACTATCCAGTGTGTATGTGATCATTCAACTTTGTAAAATTATTCATGTAAGCTACATTGGCATTGTTTAGAAAGTTCTGTATGAAAACATGGGGGGAAAAGCCCACTTTATATATGGAATCTAAGAAAGGAAAATGGTGGAGGTGGAAAATGTTGCTCTTTCTTTTATGGCCTCTGTATTCCTTACCTTTTCGTACAGTACATGATATACTTTAGTCAATACCATTACTTTTTGAAATCCCATAAGCATTCTTTTTGTAGCATTTTCCTTAAATACAAAACAAAAAGCCTTACCAATTCAGGTCGATCACATTTTTCCAATTCTTGTTCAAATTGTTTTTCAACGGAAAGAACTTTATCGTCCAGCTTAGATTTGCAAATCTTCAGCTGTTCATTGGTTGCCTAAGAAAAAAGCCAACTTGGTAAGACAGATGTGGGAGCTTTCAGTTAGGGGAAGTCAGGTGACTTCAACCAAACATATGTAGTATTAGCTAAATCTGTTCATAGATTCTGATGATTTTCAGAACAGTAAGATCTTAGCAATTCTAGTGGGTGCCAACAATCTTCTTCATAGGCAAAGTATAAACATTTAGGGTGAAATAACCTAATTGAGTATATTAAATAGTGTCATCAAATCAGAGTTAAACACAAATCAAGATTTGATATTTGATATGAATTACAATAATTGTGCAATTAAAAAAAGTTAAGTGATTAATTATTCCAACTGAATTTTAACCACTATACTAAATGTCTCTGCTATTCACGACCCTTCAACGAACTTGTGTAAAATTGAAAACCAAAATCAAAGAATGTAAACAGGCAAAAATAAAAGGAGAAAAGCTCTATGTTTTGCTGCTGAAAAAAAAACTTGTTTTTCCTATGTCTCTAAATTTAGCTGTTGTTGCAGCAATTCTCTGACCTGAGTTAGAGTTACTCTACTGGTTTATTTGTATCTATAGATTCTACTGCTAAATTTCTTAACATTCTACCACGTACTTTGCGTTCAATTATTACTACTATTCCAGAAAATAAAGACTGTGACTTTTCATTCTGCTATGTTACACAACTGCATCGTCTTCACAACAAGCTGGTATATTTCATTATTTCATTTTGTCTACACATACAACCCAGCTTGAATAAATGTGCTTGCTATTGAGTTTTTTCTGTTCTGTTAGCATGCCAAATGCTTTCTAAAATTCTCCCAATTGATCAAAACTCTAATCAATTACTACGGGGGCAATAACTTTAAGTGGTAAGCAAATACATATGGTTATTTTTGATAGTAGCTAACACAAGAAGAAAGGATTAATACATGTACCATATTTGTGACCCAATTTATACCATCAGCATCTTGCATCTGTGCTCTCTGGTTTTGACTTTTCAATCTTTAAGCAGCAGTGAGATTCTCCAGTCACTTAGCTGAATACATCTTAATTTAGCTAAAATCGAATGGATTTTCCTTATAAGGAGTTGAATCACACCAGGCTCAGGAAAGCTGGATCATAAAAATACTCCTCATTCAGTAACCTCAGGTTGGTAACTTGAGACTGGCCAGGTTGGGAACCTTTTTTTTCTTTCTTTCTTTTTTTTTCCCCAGAACTCAGCAAGTGATTTTTGGAGAGCCAGTTCCGAAACACTTAGCAGCACATCAATATTTATAATGTAACTTCTGATCCAATTCCGAATAATTCCTAATATTCTTGAGGATTACATCTAGGCCAATACCATGACACAATTTCGATAATTCATTGTTGCCAACTAGTCCTAAATTTGTTTGAATGAATCCTTTGTCTCTCTGTGTAGTAAACTGAGTCCAAAAAAGGAAAGGTCACTTCACAGATTTTCCAAGAAGGAAGAACAAAGAGCTTCTACAGAGCTCTCCTACGAGCTGAATAGGCGTCACTCAAAACATGTACTACCAACGGTCTATTTCCAATATTTAACCATTTGTAAGTTATAAAAACTACCATATTTTTTCATATTTCTTTGAAACGGAGTTTGCTGACAACATAGTATCTTTAAAGTCTATGTTAGTCAGCAACACTCCTCGCCCCAGCTTTCAAAATGTAGTCATTTGGTCTCTTTAACTTCAAAGTTTGCCCTTCTTCCGACTCCTCAAAGCTGGCATCTTGCAAAGATCGCTCTAAGCTTTCATACTGAAACAAACCAACACCGTGAGCACAAACTATAAATCATTCAAATAAAGATTTTTTTCATTTGTTTGGAAGGCAGGGCTTCACACAGAGAGAAAATGAAAACATCAATTTGTAGCAGAATTTGAAACATCATCAAAGTAAGCCAAATCAGAAGAGAATTGAAACACATATATTGAGGGAAGGGCTCCTTTATAAAATATAGAAAAAAAACACTTAGCAAAAAGAAAAATACAAATATACTTTCTTAAATGTGAAAAGGTAAGTCCATAAAACAGAAAATCAAATGAGCTAAAAAATATAAGAAACTCATTAGGACAACATGGAGTAAATCCACAATGGGACCACATCACTTCTAACAAAATGGCTAAAATTAGTAAGATTTGTTAAGCATTGAAGTGAGGAACAGCATAATGCCCATACACTCCAAATCAACTGTTTACACAAAACTATCTACATATAAATACTATTTCCTGACTCTAATTATTTTTGTTTTCAAAACTCTTACCTCTTTTTCTAGAAAGTTAGGTTTGTCAAGTAGATCACAATTTTCTTTTATTAGTCCAGAGTGTTCTACAGCAAGCTTTTTCTTTTTTACTAAAAAAAAAAAAAAAAAAAGATAAAATGTAATTTTTAAATTTTATGCAGAAAACTGATGAGACCTAAAATAGGAAAAAGACTGCTTACCTACATAAAGCCTGCTTGCAATCTGAAACAAATTTTTAACAAAAAAATATGTTAAGGCAAATATATATATATAGCTAATAAGCATATGTAAATTTAATTTTACCTCTGCCAATTAAATATTACAAG